AGAGCACAAGCATACCGATCCTAAGAAATGGATTCAATCTGTCCACGCTAAAGGATCATGAGAAGAAGAACCACGTTGATAGACATATAGTAAAGCGCCTACTAGGGGTTTCGCCGTGCGCCTGTTTTGACACTAAACATATTTTACCTCTATAGAGGTAAAAGGCTAATTACATTTATAAGAAATGTATGTCGAATAGAGGTTACCTATTCGCAAACAGTTTTAACCAAATAGCTGTTTCCACAGTATAGTTTGAACAGAGTTTGTTATGTAATGTATGTTGAGCACACTTGTTTCGCGATGCGATTTTCAGAGAGACAAATTTATGTATATATTAGAGAAGCGACGCTGGTGGCCACCTTCATGTTTCCAAACGGAAAAATGAAAAACATGTTGCTGGCCTCGGTTCACAATCAACCAACTTAACATTATGCTTCCTGGAGAGAAACAAGCTTTGTCTTCTAAGGGCAAAGGTGTTTGACAAATCTACTTCCAAGACTTCCAGGTACATAAATAGATACACTAATATAGATATAGGGTAACAAAAAGAGCTAGAAGGAGGCCAAGATCTTAGACCATAAACGGGCTGTAGCAGAATTCACTTGACAGTTGAGCAGTCTTCACTAAAAAGATTACTTATGAAATCCATATTTAATTTGTGTATCTCTTGTTACTTTAATAGATACAAAAACAAAGACCTCAATCGTTAAGTAAATTTTGCGTCACGGTATATATAAATTGCTTATTATATACAGGGTCGGCCGACTAAATTCTACCGTTCTTGGACTCGTCCCTGCAGCTTTGCAAATATATTTAATCGAAACCCCTACTATAAGTGGAAACCTCGTTCCAAGAAAAATGTCAACAACGTTGCGTTCATCATTGAGATCAGGAACTCCTTGGGTTACTTTAAACTTACAAATGACTATGCAACCGCATATACACACCCTAGCACAGTCGCTCGGCAAATTCATGACAAACAAGAAACAATACGGAGAATTTGTTCCTCTTAAAATTAAAGCTGCTGGTCGTTTTCGGTTCTTCTCTGGCAAGAAAAGATTTATCTTCGATGCGAAAATTAAACGCAGAAACGAAACCCAGATTGCTCATGATCCAACGAATGTGCCTTTATCAGCAGATTTTTACGTTCTAAGTGTGGCATCCCATAAAACAAACCACTACATTTCTTCTAGAGAAGCCAATCTGTTTGTCCTGCGAACTGTTGTATAGCTAAAGTGCCTAGAGAGAAGCCATATGTCTTTCAGGAAAATGATGCACCGGCCCATACTAGTAGCCTAGTGTAGCATCAGCTGCTCGAAAATCCTTGTATGTTCTGAAACAGGCAAATATGGTTGCCGAATTTTTTAGATCAAAATTCGTTATTGAGCGGGATCTGCAGTCTCGATATAATATCGAATTACTCGATTATTTTATCAAGAAGGCACATTGACAATATAAATATTTGAAACGAGCTTGTGAGCGGTCCCCAAATTGATATTGTAATCGCTGTCAATAGTAGTTATTTTCAGTTAACGACATTGCTAGGGATGCCATTTTCAGCACATACGAGAATACACTTCTACATACAGTTTCAATAACAGAGTATAAGAGAAATTTGGAATTTAGGCATCTCAATAATTGAAAATAAGGTAACAGTAGTTCATGAAATATTGCCTCTAAGCAAAAGCAGTCGTACGCATTTTTATCGACATCATCTTATATAGTAAACTGCAAGGACTATCATTTTGTGGAGGCCACTTATATCTAGGTTTGTTTTTTATGATATGTTTAACATGAAAAATGTTTCGAGTTTTAAATCAGGTACTGCCGTTAAATATAGCTTCAGACGGCTAGCTCCCACTACGGAATAAAGCGTGTTTTCGCGCACTTTCAAATCTAGACCATCACGTGTCCTCGAGTTCAATAGACAAGCTCGTTATCTCTGCGCTATCACGGGAACCCGTATGCTTATGATCTCCATGTTTACAATTTTACGCTCGATATCGCTTTTAGGCATCAAATGGCTAGCTCCCAGCAAGAAACGAAGCTGTCTGTGCTCGGATTCGAGGATAAACCACAACATATCCCCAAGATTAGCAGGCAAATACGTTACTCGCTAACGTGCTTATAAGCTTAAAAGCGTTCACTTAACCAAACACGTCTAGATGAGATCTGTTAAAATGTTTATTGTGGTGATAGCTTAAGTACCTACGCATTGAAAGCCTACATGCAAGCTATGATACATCTCTGATGACATACGAATTTGTCGGCTGCAAATTAGTAACGATAAAATTCTATTAGCAAAATTAACGTAAGTTGTTATTATCTGAAAAAAAATAAGATTTGAAAATGAGAAAAATGTTGAAAAGTAAGATACAACAGCTAAGCGCGTGTATCCATAATACACATATAAAATCGTTAGGAAAAAGTAGAAAATTATGAGCTTCGCACTGTTTTTCATAAGCTAGCAGCTACTTTAGCTATTGCCATTTCATTGCAATTTCTTGATTGACATACTCTTCAAGTACTCACTTAAGCTGCAAAATAGAACCTTGAGACACTTCATTAAAAAGTGAAGTATATAATGTTAGCTTGTAATTACGTCCAATAATGCTGGAGGGTATGTAAAGAACTGGTAATAAGACCCCTAAAGCGTACATACTATTGTATGAGCATAACTTCGTCGTTTAAGCTGCATATTTCCCTTGTCCACCGTGATGTGTACTACTATATCAAAGAAAGGGAAAGAAATAGAAGTAAACAGTACAACAACGGTGCATTGGTAGGACCACGCTATAGCGTGCTATTATCCCATACTATATTCTTCCTTCTCGGTTTCCTTTTGCTGGCCAGGGCATGCAGCGTCTATCCCAACGAACCTCTTTTAGTTGTACTTAGAGCACTGTAGTGTCCCCAGGGTTGCTTTTGTCGTCATAGAGCCACGAAGGAACAAAGAATAAAGAAAAAGGAGCTTTCTTCTGAGTGCTGCTAGTTCAGCTCTTTCGGGGTAACCTCAGCAGTTGGAGTCATGGGCCAGCGGCGGTGGAGACAGCGCAGCAGGATAGCGGCAGCGAGTGAGTGAAGAAATGTGATGCCGAATGGGCGAAATTCTACACCCACCAGGCCGCCCACCCTTATAACCCCATCGCCTCCTCTCCACCCGCCTGCCCTCCCGGGCTGCCACAACGATTCGCCGCAGAGAATCTGCCTAGCTAAGATGTATGGGTTGGAAGAGGAGGAGCTTATTCTCTTCCCTTACTCACTTCTCCCAGCCTCCTCCCTTACGACGGTCACCGCTAAACTATAATATAATACTTCCAATTCCGTCAACTAGAAAGCCGAAATGGTTCTTACTCGGTATTGGCTAGTTACGAACTGCTTCGTGCTAGCGACGGAGTGCCTTTTTATCCTGCTGGTTCCTGTCAGTTTTCCTCAACAGCTGCTCCACTATTTTACTTCACTGTAAACTCTGCAAACGCTACAACAGACTGAGCGGAAAAGGAATAAAACCATTGTAGGTTTGGTCAGACGGTTAAACCTCGCATAGTAGCTTCAATTCGTAGCCCCATCATCGTAGGAACGGTGAAGGAAAAACAAAAAAGAAAACAGCTCATCTTTAAATCCAATGAATGCCTTAGTGCTGAGCAGATGAGCAATGTGGTGTCGTGCCGACGCCAGTCCTATGCCGCTGTTGCTCTGAATCGTCCTAAGGTGAAATTCCAGCGACAACCGATCTTCATGTTATCGAAGCATACTTTTCATCTGCTTGAATCTGTACTAAAATAGGAGAACCCGCCGACAGTATTTAGGCTTTTTGTAAGGCGCAAATGCGTTTCGTTGTTAGTGTTTCCGTTGTTCAAAAAATGCGAACAATAGGCATTTTGCAGTAAAACACATACAAAATCAATAGTTCAGGTAAACCAAAGTAATTAAAAAGTTAGAGTTTAGTTAAAGAAACTTGTGGTAACAATCATTTTATCAGTTGGAGAGGTAAGTGTCAGACTGCAATTTTTGACATGAAACTTTTACAGCTAAGTTTTACGAATATTTAGTTTTACGAACAAATAGCTATTCAGGAACTAATATTTGAATATAAATAATTCTGAATAGCTATTTGTTTACGACAGTGGTTGACGGTAGTGTTGGTACGACAACAAATGACTGAACTTTTGATATTGAAATTTTAAAAACATGGCAGCTAGCAACACAATAAACACTATGAAAAGCAGATAAAAAGGTCCCTATTTTCCCAGAATGGTCTTTCCACTAGCAAAAAGTTATTTCCAGAATGTGGACTGATTCCATAAGGCACCTGCGCGAAATGTTCACATTTGAAGGCAACTTGTAAAACAACGGCTTAAATATAAAAAGCTTTGTACTAGAAAAAGATGTCTAAATAAAGAAGGTTTGTCGGTTAACGGCTGATGTGAGCAACTGAAGATATATTTGAAATTTCACATCTTGTGGTTCCATTAAGTATCTTTGCAAACGAATAATTTGATATTTGCCAATACAGAAGCAATCGAGTACAATTCTAAGTGTCGGATGCGTGTAATCGAGTTACGTGCACACTTTGTACGGAAAAACGGAAAGCCTCACAGAGGTAATTCTTTAACTTTGTGTGTAACATGGTTACCTATATAGTCAAGCGTCGGATTTTTGAGCGAGAATATTTAGTGTTTACATCTAGCAGTAGAGCACTATTCATAAGCATTCTATTGCTAAATGTAACTTTTTTTTTAGGCTTTGAGTAGAAAAATATTTCGAAGAAGTGTATTTGCCAGACATTGCTTGAGCTATGACGGGTATAAGCCCAAACCTGCTCGATGCGACAATATCGAGACAGTGGACTTAAGGACAATAGTAATATAGCGAAAGTAAAGGCTGCCATACCTTCAGCTGGAAATGTGTATCATTTATTACCAATAAGTGTATACGATTGTGATCATTGAGCGCACAAACTTTTGTTGTAGCGTTGGCTAATTATGTTCTTGACTGACCTTTCGATGCGTCATCGCAAACTGTCCATCGATCAATGACTGAAAGAGTACGATCGTTTCATCAAGTTCCCAAATGAAAACTCTTTCCGTTGTTTGTTCCGGCTCTGGACTGACGCTGAGCGCCTGCATGAGAATATTGTTGCTTACTTTGCGTGTCCTTTTTGCTTGTTTATTTCTTTTATTGTAGGGTAGCGGAGGACTAGCTTGACCGGAGAGACCGTATGGAAGATCTACAATATAGACAAAGAATCAAAAAGCATGTAGTAAAATATAAAAAAAAAATTAATGAGGAAAATTATTATTTACCCTTTGGTAAGTATTGTTGGCAAAAAGTCAAATTCGTTTTAAGTACAGGGCAGCCTATGTGTTTTCTATGCAATGCAGGACACTTCACTTTCTTCAGTCCCATGCCCGCTTAATTCCACTAACCGTTTGATGTGATGGTTGATGCAGTGATTGGAGAATAAGTGGAAGCAGTAGCCATGGAGTTACCTTGAGCCTGTGTTAGCTGGCTAAGAGCAGAGGCGTACCCGCTGCCTGGATATCCTTGACTCGATCCACTATAATAATAATTGCTGTATCCATAGGCGCTGTAGTCCAATGGACCAGGCTGTGAGAAGGCACCACCTTGTGATGGTGTAGTAGACGGAAATGAAGGATAAGAGGAGTAAACCGATGGGGGGCTCTGTGAGGATGATGTTTGTGGTCCGGCGGAGGAAGTGGATCCTGTTGCCGCGGAAGGTGAACTGAACGCGGTGGGGTAGTGTGCTAGGTATGTTGATGTCGATGTATGTTTCGTACTGCTGGATGACGTTCGTAATTGATCTGCAAAGGAGCTCACCAAATAACAATCGGAGATTTCTTATACAATGCTTTTAAATTAATTTTTTAAATAAACTTCATTTCGTGACCAAATATTTTTTACCATTCGAAGCCTTCTATTCGACTTCAAAACCACAATTTGTTTAAGATAACGTTGATACTAAAAAAGGGCATTGTAACACTGCCGCCTAATAGTTCTCATACACTCGAGCCATTTATTTATACAGACCCAGAGGGGCACGTTTTCAGCAAACAAAAAGAAAATCTATCGTTTTTGGGATCGCAGAATACTATAGGAAGCACAGAGACCTGCTTCAACCGTGCGTTTGATTAGTCTCTTTCACACTAGCTTGATATTAGTCAAATGTAATTTAGTTTGACTATGTCAGAATGTCAGTAATTTCACCCTTAGAGACACAATTTTTTTTAACAAGTAAATATTGTATTAAGTCTTACCACATTAGCCTTTCAAAAAGTTACATAACGAAGCATCAGAGTCATGGGAATCGCAATGCTCTTTCAATTTTAAGCCACATCTCTTTGTAGTAGCAAAAGTTATCTTCGAATCTCCCTGAATTTCAAGCTAAGGCTTTCGTTTTAAATGCTGTATGAACTATATATAACTAGTGTAAAGAATGTGTTTGTTTGAGGTTCGTTTATATTAGCTTCCAGTTTAAGCAGAAGAGTTTTAGTGGTGTATTTGGAACCTAGGTAATACACATCCATTTCTGACGCCCACGATTAGGACGGTACTCGTTTTTTTTAATTTTGTCTAACTTCAGATGGTTGATGTGGACACGTGTTGTACTACTCCTGCTCTGCTTTTTGAACTGGTAATCCTTTTATCGCCAGCTTTTCATAAATTTGTAACAAAGCCCAATCAACTATAAGTAATTTGCTTTTCTAGGCTACTTTCATGTATTACAATTGCAGAACCTTTACATTCACTACAAATCCTGCAGACATTATTGCAAGTTCCCCTGGTTCACGTAGTTTTAGATATTCAATTGCAGTTTTTTTGGAATAAGGGCAAGAGAGTCGTCTTGAGAAAGTTGAAGTCACTCATTGAAATTTATCGTTTTGTTGTTTCTATTGCTACCAGAAACAGAACCAAAAGAGCCCCTAAATTATGTTTCTAAAATGATCACAATCGATCATTAAACAACCTTTCCCGTATCCACAAAATATTACGCATCCGACATGTCAAATAATTTGCCCTTACTTCAGTTTGCGCCTGAATCATTTTTGCGATTTCTAAACACTACAATGAGCGAAAAAGTTTGACATTTTAGTGTCAAAGCTTGCGAAATTCACCACAGATGTAGTACATCTCCGTGACACTATCTGCTTGCTCACTCAAAAGAATATCGACGTCTTTAGGATAATCTGTGGAAGATTGCTGTTTCTTGTACTGGTCTGGCCTAAAAGGGATATACGAGAATACCAGTAAACAACGAATGGGGGAAACAGTTTATCTAAGAAAGCATATTAACTGCTTTGTTGCAGCACGTTTGTTTTACCATCTCACTGTCATATTGTTTGCCAACTTAATCGGGTCCAGCTTATTCCAGTAATAAATTAAAATTCCTTATAGGACATTTCAATAATTACACGCACCCAATTAAACAGTTTACATGCTGGGAACAACGCCTTTTGTTGACTTTTTAGTTAGAACCATTGCTCCCGCAAGGGTGCGGTAATGGGACGTTTGCCTACTAACTGCAGGGTGAGAGAGTGATTTAGATTTGAACCTGACCGTAAACACACTTAAAATCTTTCTTAAAAATTCGAGCAATAGAAGTGGCGATCTATATAGTCCTTCCTTCGTTTACTTGTATTGAGCTTTTTATCCTGGGAGGTCCTTGAAATAATGTTAGGTAGAAATATTGAAGCCCGTTGTAGAAGGGACAGCTATCGTCGGTTATAGCAAAAGCTTTCTTGGTCAAAAGAATCCTCATATTAGGCGATACATCAACTACACTACCAAACGTCTTTTGTCAGACACATACCGCAAACGAAGAAGAATAAAGGATCACACACTGGAAATGGAAAGCATAAGGCCTCAGGCATTAATATTTAGCAGATGGATATAGGTTATACAGAAATCACGGGAGGTCCATACACCAATGGCTGAATGCCGTGCAGTTGAAATTTGTGAGAGAAAGGTAGTTTATTATAGAAATGCGCTCGGTAGACGGTACTTGTGCAAGTGTAATGACAGGCTGGAGATGGCCGAGCTGGTAGGTCCAACCCTTTCAATGCAGATGGGTTGTAAAAGACATCTAATACAAACTTAGGTTTATTGACTGAACCATGGTTACGACGCTAAGATTCTTTCAAAAAAGGAGTTTTGTATTTGCCCAACATTTTACATCGTCAGTATCGTAATTAATAGCGTTTACGAACCTATTCATACATCTTAGTATACAAATCTTCTACATTGATTACATCTTTTCATTCGTTCGTGTTAAGTCATTAATAGGGACTCTATGATTTCTTCAAGCAATGCTTGAAAAACATCGTTCTGTATGGTTCGAGCCATACGAGATAATCTCTCAAAGCTACTTCTTGCTGTTTGGAGTGACGTAACATTAGTAGTATTACCACTTTGTACACTAGGATGAGATTGTTAAAAGGACGAACTGTGTCAATCTTCTTAGTATCAGTACAATTAGACAGCTGCCGGATGCTGCAGCTATCAAAATAAGCCTACCGTTTCATGTTTCCAGTAGCGTAAATCGCAAGCATTTAGCCGTCCGAGACGGCAAAAGCTAAGCTCGTAAAATGCAACCCAATGCACTTCGATAATTTCAAGCATTGAGGCGTGCAGAACAGTTACAAGATTTTTGGTTTTGTTAGCCCCTACAGCAACACCAGATGCTCTATAACTCGAGAAAGCTTTTTCCATATATACAGGAGTAACCTAAATGTCAGCGATGAATCTTTTGAGTTCAAAACAAAATAGCACAGCTTGTGTCATCTTGATCATTTTGCGAACGCTGTCCACCGAGATTTTCGATACAACGAAATTTACAAAAATGACAAACATTTAGATCATAAGCGCTAGTGCTGAATGTGTTTCATTCAATTGTCTCTTCCTCCCATGCGGACTTGGTACGACCTGTCTTCCTCCGGAAAGAAATAACGTGGACAAGCGGTCAGTCGCAGCCTGGTTATAGGCTATATATCTTTTAGCATTCGGAAAAACATCGAATGACGGAAACAATCGAAAACCGCCGCAACATCTACAAACACATCAAGAGAAAGATGTTTATTTTTTGTCGCATAGGTGACTGCTCTGCAAAGACGTGCCAACATACAACCTTGACGTCGACCTGAATTCAAAAAACCATATTTATTGGTTAATTATTTCGATTTCAAGATCCGCCTCAAGTAGACTAACCATGACATATAATCGACCAAAGCTATCGGACGGTAGTCACGAGATAAACTGTCAGTTATCAATCAAGTCAGTAGAAAAATCCTGGCAATTTGCCCACCAGTTTCAAGTTGCTGCCTCAATCAAGCCTAACTAAAAACCTCAGTGTATCAACGCTTATGATTTAGTCTAAACAATGCTTACTTGCGAACGCCTAACCAATTTATTAATAATAATCCAAGGATTTCAAAGCTGTTGCCTCGAATCCAGATTACATAGTCTCCAATGTTTCTCCAACGCAAGATTCTATACTCGTTTTTATTATTGAGAAGAAGGCATTATCCTACAGCAATCTAAATCAAATTCTGTAAGAGGGATCCTAGCGAATATAGGAGTTTGCGTTTGCTCTTTGGTAGAAATGGAACCCTTGTAACGATCCCCCCCCCCCCCCCAAAAAAGAACTTTCAGTTCCACCTCATTTCAACCGATACTCGTCGTCTACGGAGATGTAACACATGCCCACCTTAGGACTCGCAAAGATCACCAGAACATTGAAATCAAAATGAAAGCTGACTGTTGTTTGTTGTTTATCACAGCTAGTTTCGCAATATTTAAAATCATTCAATGAAAATTGTTGTTTGAGTGTCTAAGAAGCTGAACATACCGGTATAAGGGGTTCCGATGGTCAAATTGGTATAGCCTGAGTGAACTGGATTATTGTAGAAGGGATTGGCGTTACTGTGAGGTGAACTGTAGGTCCCTCCACCGGATGAGTTGCTGCCGTAAGCCGTAGCTTGCATGCTGAAAGGAAGTAAGTAAAGGAATATATCGTCGTCCGTTGTAACTAGATTGTATAAGAAGTAACCAGCAAACACTCAATAAAAAGAATCCTCTCCATCACTTTAATAACTAGATACGCTATATTATGGCAGTACTTATCCCAAAGAGCATTGTTTTTTATTTAGACGTGGTACGATTCGTCGACTATTTTCCGATATACTATCCATCGAATATTCAATCTAATTTATTTACATAAAAGTATTATTACCGTAACTAGCAAGCACGATTTTTATTATTGGTAATATTATCTTTATAATACAATTAAGAGTGATATAAGAGGGATGCGCAGACATTTTAAACAGTTATGGAAATAAATGGGCGGTAACACTAGATCGTACTCTTACAGCCTTTTCACTTTTAATAGAAGTAATTTTTCGACTTAAGGTGTTCCACTGTTTAAGAGAGTACACCATTTTACACTAAGCAGTTTTTCGGCTCCAGAAATATTTGTTATGACAGCGTTGATCTGGAAAGGACAGAGGTGACTTAAATGCGCATCACCTAACAAATACACATCTAGATATAAAAGAAACCTGCATGAATGTACAATAACTTTTAAAACAAATATATATGTAGCCAATATAGTAGGTTACCATCTAGATAAACAGATTCGAAACCCGTAGAGTGCATAATTTTTTCTAGAGTTAACGGCCTAAAAAATACAGTCTTTACTAAAACAATTTTTCAAATCCCTGTCAATTTGACATACTTGCCCTGCTTGTGATAAAATCTGATATCCATTTATCTTGTCAACAGCCCTGATTGAGGAACAAAGTGTTTTATTCAGTTAACTTTTCTGAACATCTTTACGCCTTTCAATTGAGTTTCATCCTACAACGTGGATATACTTGATTTTTAGCAGCTGTCTCATTGGCCTTTTTCGAAAATGTAAATGTTACGCAAAAAATAGTAAGCCGGAATAAAATCAAAGCATTACATAATGTGTTCCGTGCTGCACAGGTAATTAAAGAGCAGAGCGGTTTTTTGATGACTATAGCTTTTTGCAAAACAATTTTACAGGCGCAACATAAGCGCGTCTTTTAGAACACTATTACCTTATGGTTTGTTTCAGCAAAAAAATAAAAAAGGTTGCTGAGTCCATGAGCATTCAGAAAAAAATTGCTTTAGTCATGAGGGAAGCATCCTCTAATTAGAGAGCAGCATTTTTCCTACTGCTAACATTTACTCCAACGATAAAGATTTTGTGGTCGGGGACGAATCATTTATGATCACCGCCATCAAAGAGAACAGAATATTCAAAAAGTTATCTTAGCGAGTTCAGCGAGAACTTCTCTGATTTTTATGGTATGAAAGGTACTTGAGTTCCTTATAAACTACGCAACATGCCCGGTTTGCAATTAAATAACTGCTAGTTCGGAGTTGAGATACCAGTAGCATCATATGCGATATATACTTTTATGACCATTTAATAAGTTTTTGGCTCCTTTAGATATTGTTTTATCTTGTATCTTTGACATTGACGTATGAATCTTTTTTGAATTTCTTGGAAACGTCATAATAATTGGCAACAGCGTAGATCGTCGATTTTGGGTTTCCAAGAAGATTGATAGTCTCGCGTACAATGCTGCCGGCGCGCTGACTATCAACAAAGTCTGATGTCACTTCATACATAAAGCGCGAACATTAATGGATTAAGCGCTGTATTTATAGTCTTGCACCTTTGTTGGGGGTAAAACAAGTGTTTTTTTTTTTTAACTAACATTTCATGACTAAAGTGTCATCTAATTACGAATATTTCAGTTTCAAAGTTGTATGAAATTTTCCGATTGCGCTAATATAAAAAAAACAATCGCCATGTCAGTGCTGTGCACATGCATCTCGTTTTTTTCTATATTGTCTATTGTATCTTTTATAGTGAAGATATGTGTGCAAAAAACCTCAATTTTTGCCGTTTGTTTATGCATGAAGGGTGAAGCAAAATTCTTTTGATACTTAAATAGTCTTTATTTTACTTCTATACAATAAATTTGTAGACACCTGGTGGACGCAGTACGACCGACGAAATCATGCACGACATGATGAAAGCGATCAAGTGCACAACGAATAACGTGGGGAGCCTTTAATTTTACGCTAACAAGACGAAAAAGTGATCGAGGAGATAAAGCATCAAAGAGCCCAGAAAAAAGGCCAAAAAAAAGAGAGTAGCTGAGGTGTCTGAAAAGTTTTTCAACTTCATTAAGACCTGGGAAAAAACATTTGTAAATCTCGTGCAGACTAGGCAAGCATTGCTTAATAAAGTGAGGTTAAAGCTTAATCTACAAATGCTTCTGGTGAATATACGACAGATGGCCCAGTCGGTCCTTTTGGCTAATCTTATCACAGTAGCACAGATTAATTCATATGCGGAATTATTCTGTGTAGCTCCAAATTACTTATTAACAAGTTAAAGAAGTATAACTCTCAGTCTAACCAAAAGGTGCAGCGGGTCTCGGGAATGGGCTACCAGTATCCTTGGGCATGGCGTCATCAGAAATAATTTTCGGCTATCACATTAACGCCAACCAGGATTCCAGCCTTGCATTGTGTTGTTCGATAACGAGGTGGCTGTGTCAGCCGGAAGTTTTTTGGGACCCTACTCTTACTCTGACAATAACAGCAAATCAAACGACGAATTCTCGCTGGTGGCCCGTAATGAGCGCGCTGGCAGCAAATCAGAAAGTCGACCGCTTCATGCTTGTAAATTGATGGCATTGTTATCTTTGGAGCGCAGAGGACTGCGCCCAGTGTGGCAGGCCGAACCGCGGGTGCTCTCAAGCCTGCACAAGGCTCGTCGGGACGTCTCTCTGGCTATTTGTGATCTGAAAGCGCAGTATTATAGGAGGAACGGAATCCGGCGCCGAGCTCAGGAAAGGTTTCGAGTCTAGAACTCGCTAGTTGCAGCGTTTGTACGCAAACTACGCTTTTGGAACTAGTTATCAACCAGGGCGATAAAGTAAGTGTAATCTATCTATAGGGCACGAATACCTTAAATCATATAATGCAAAGATGTTTAGCCAGATTGAGGCTAAAGTGCTGAAGTTCGTTCAAGAAAGGCATCGCTGACAATTTAGAAAACTCGCGGCAATTTCTTCGGGGAATTGAATTAAACAGAACCGTTCACAACAGCTTGGGCTCTTCACTTAATTTAAGCCAAGGTCCTAGTCAGGATGAGTGGTCAAATAGATTTTTCTTGAGGTGAGACAACGATGTAATACGGTGGCGACGTCAAGTATGAGACGCGAAAAGACGGTGGACGCAGGTATATATGCATGAAATTAGGGTATCGAAGATGAATCCAGCGGACTTTGAATTAATAAGCTTTGAACTAGGTGGTTTAGAATGATATTTCAATATGTGTTAAAAGTACAAGCTTTTTTTGTCTTTGTGCTCTGACACCCATATATCTGCCATTACGTTGTTATATGTAATTTCTCTATCTACGACTTATCGAGGTAAATTGGGATATGCTTGTCCACCAGTCGCCCTTTTTTAAAGCATGGAAAGACCCGTAACCATTTAGGCCTAAATCAAAACAATAAACAGATGGAAACAAACGTTCAGTACTACTTTGCTCACACCGGTAAGCATTCGAGACATAGCAATGGGTTCTGTTAATTAACTGACCACACTGTGTTTTCAGATTATCTGCCAAAGGTCCATGAATCTTCTAAGAAACTCGAGACAGCGAGCTGCATTAGTTCTTTCATATTCGGCGAGTATCTAATGTTATTAAATGTCCCTGATGTCTGTTGAGACTACTAGTACTATCTTAAATCCGAACCTATTCGACGCCTGCCATCAGAGTCAATTTCTCTCCAACGGGATGCAATTCCATAGTCTGGTGTGTCTCCGGCTGGCGATAGAAACTGAAGTATCCGTTGTTTATGGCCGAGTCTAAAATTAGTTCACGGGGGACTCGTTTTTCACTCAGCTTTTTTTGCATTTGCATTATTTAGTTTATAGTTCTGTAATACGGAACATGCGAAATGCCAGTTTTCACCGAGACCTTTAGACTCTAGTTCTGCTTTTGTGAAAGTCCATGCTGATTGCAGTAGTGCGTTCTTGAGTTCCGACAGTTGACCTTAAATACTCCAATCTTTGTTCTTGAAGCATTCGCATAACTTACGTACTATACTTTCTTTTAAGGCCTTCTTGCCTAATGTATTTACCAATCTTTGATAAATTTTCGCGGCGTTGTGACCTTTGTGAAACGCAAGCTTGACCACTGAGCGTCTTCGAGGGTGTTTCACCTTTTAAACTTATGTCTTCTGGAATAAACTCAGTGAAAATTGGTTGTTTTCATACGCCAGCTTCCCAAATACTGAAATGTTTACCAACCGATTTTCACTGGCTTTCTTCATACTCTCGGCTCTGTTCAGGAAAGAGGTCGTTATTCCATCCCATATACATAAAAAGATAATCGAGTCAGTATCAACGTAGTTATTTCATGGTGATCAATTTGATTTCACATGAGATTGGGCTTTATAAACTTACTTGGTGTACGCTGCGTAGGGGGACGAGTCCTGGAAAGACGGTAGAGACTTCTCGGATGAAGTTGATGGAGGGCTAGACGCTATGGGTAGTTTTTCAGCACCGTGAGCACCCTGAGGTCCCATCGAATTAGGGCCTGAACAACCGAAATCCGAGTACCATTTAATATCCGCGGTGGCGCTTAGAAGCGGATAACCTCCCAATTCCACCTGGTTAGTTGGCGATCCAAGATTACAAAAATTACCTCCTGACTGCGCGTTTGGCTGTTGTGTGTGAAGCTGGTTTGCTAAAATCTGGGATGGGTGAGGGAAGTCACCGATGGTGTCACTTGGGGATGAGGAAGCCTCCGTCTTGACAAGAGGCTCCTCACAGGTCTCAGTCCTAGCGACCACGCCTGAGGTGTTGACTGGGCTGCTGAAAATACATGAATTATCAAACAAACGGAATAGAAGCCATCTATTTAAAAGATAAGCATAGGCGGTTGATAAACTGAAATTGCAATCGCGCGTGGCTTTTGTGTCATGAAGGTTCTTTAAGCAATATATTGTATAAACGTTTTTAAAAGCCGGGGTTTGCCCTAGGATCATAGTAACAGTTTATCCAGGAAAATAAAGTACAGCTGATCCATAAAATAATCACGTTAAGATAATAATATTAAATAAAGATTTTATCTTTCTGGTCCGTGATTAATAGGTATGATTTTTAAATATATTTAAAAGCTCTTAGTTCTTTGCAGAATATTGAAGCCGTAATATAAATTATGGATGCAAGGTCTACGAATTTCAAACCCCGAGGATTTTCAAATCCTGGTTCAGTGAAAAAGAGGTAGATATTTAGAAAAAAGGCCAAAGCTTTCAAATGCATATAATCTATAGGAACTCTGCACTATGCTGCATCAAGAAACTGGATATTCCGATAAAAAAATTATCGTGAAGGTACCTTACAAATACTTCTAACAAAATCCTCCACCTCTTTAACCAGCGCCAGATGAATTACAATTTATTTCAATGCACTAACAGATGCAGGACAGTGGAACGGGCGACGATTTGTTACTATGTCTAATACTAGAAACAAATTAGGACGAATAATTTTAAAGATAGCACCTTTAATTAGAAAGCATTATTTGTACAAGCTTTTGTATCTATTACTCTTTTTATCTTTTAAAAGAATTATGTAAAATTGCCCTTATTTTTTTTTCTTTAAACAACGAGTTTAATACACTTATCACAACAAGTATAACACAGTAGCGTTAGAGCAAAGTTCGTCTCTGATCAGGTAACCTTTTTTTGGTTAATACGCTACGTAAATTAGATATGCGTAGGCAATAGCACGTATTTCGTGTAGGTCAAATTCAGTGTGAGATTAACGTTTGCTCCATTCTATCTTCAGTGGGCAGATACAACAATCGCAAGCTGGTAGCTTTGACAGAGATAGATCAAATTCTGATTAAAGAAACAGGAGAGCATTCACACAAGTATAATATAAGAAACAGCATAACGTTAGAAGGAAAACTAAAACAAAATAAATTCACACAGTTCTATCCCTCGCAATACTTCATAAATCAGTACATCTTGTGTAATTCCCCCACCCTAGAAGCAGTTCGGACAACAACGTTAACAGCTTATTTAATTAGTCATATTGTGGTAGCTACAAGGACGCAATGTTTGCCCTCAATAATTAATTGTACACCTGGTTTTGCACAACGCTGCGAATGTCTGTCAAACCCAGTATTGCCTGTATGTCTGGTACCTATCATTGGCACAAAAAAAAAACGATTTTTAATCATATTAACTCAATTTACGTAAAGCGTATGCCGTTTATAGGGCGTGCCATATTATAGCGATATAGTAGTAGCAGTTTCTCAAACCCAACCAATTAACATTTTTATTCATCTTTGATAGTAGTAAGTTTTCGTAATATAGAACCAATATACACAATATAGCACATATTGGGAAAATCAATAACGTATCATAAGCAACAAGGGTAGATTAAATAATTTGTTTCAAAAGCTGGGAAGATGACGCATTACGAAAAAATTAAAACAGTTCTCCAAATAGTGAAATTTTTGTAAAAAATTAAACGTTCCATTTGCAATTTTTAAAACTCCAGTAGCAATTGACAAAAATTACATGCGCTTGCATGCAGGTTGATTTCTATTCTATGAAATGAGGTCAAGTGTGGCCTTACGTCGATACTTGTTGTTATAGCTTTGTGGTTTGCTTTACGTTGAAGGACAGGGACAGAAAGGACAGAACGAGCATTGGGAGGGGTCTTAGCAGGTGTCTGACTTAGGTCTTTTAGCTGGCAGTCTACCTGTGATTTTCGTTGTCCTTATGATTTACGCTACGAGGCGCTGGTATAGTCACGTGGCCATTCAGGGGAAGTCGACCGTTCTCCGAGCCATCTGGAGGCCCCACTCGCGCAGACGTCGCCTGTAGTAAACAAAGGGTTGCTACTCTATAGCTCTAAATAACCTTTGCTACCTAGAGTAGACTTTTTAGCAAAACACCTGCACCCAGAACAGGACGATACAATCGTATAGAGACATTTGATGCGACGGGTTTGTTTTGCACAGTAGCAGCAATTTTTCAGTAACCGCACAGTGAATTTTTGTGAGTAATCGATTCATAGCTTCACGTTACAGTAAAGTTCCTGCTTAGTAAGCTCAGCGAGCTTCATTGCCGTTATCTATTTTGAGAATAACAAAACATAGGGCAGAGTGTTTCGCAGTTTTTCATAAAAAATACGGCTTATCGAATTGTATGCATTCACGCTGATTTCAGAACGAAGAAATGTAACCCTATTTTTTCCTCTGCACACTTTAGCTCACCCAACCATAAGCTTACGTTTGTCCTCACCCGGTATTCGAACTCGCGTGTACTCCATTATAGTCCAAAATTAGAAATAAATAACTCTATAAATTATTTTCGCAGTAACTACTGCAGTATATACTGATAAAGAGAATTTCAAATATGTTTATCGACAAATATGTCAGCCAGAGCAAACGGCAGATTAACTTGAGGTATTGTTTCAGATTCACCTTTAGGAAGTGTTATATCTATAAGAACAAAAAAAATTAGAATTGTTTTAAAGGTTTAATGTCTTGCAATGTGTTTTTACATTCTATCTGTAGTACCAAGCACAAGTATCCATCATCACCTATCATATCTTAATTACGCCGCTTGTAAATGCGTCATTACAAGTTTTTTTAGCTACACACTGCAACGTATATATATAATGTGGGCTTCGTCTGAACTGTATAGAGTCTCTCAATCATTATCAAATGAAGCGGATAGAACAACGGAACACGTTTTGGCTCACTTACATATTAGAGAATCATTTTCCATATTGTCTTACGCGATAAAGGAGTAGATCGGATAATGGTTACTAACTCAGCCTTGAAGCCAAGCGTGCTAATCTTCAGTGACAATTTCTAGTAATGTGCGTCTAACTAAAGAGCATAGTATTCCAACACTGGTAGACTCACTTTTGGTTTCCTTCACGGTGGTCAAAGCATTTTTGTGATAATAAATAAACACTAGGTTTCGCGTTGCTATAGTTCCAAAGATATCGGCAGAAGCCAACACGAAACCCTCGTTTTTGAAAGGTGACCTCAATGTCATTGACTTTTAACCAGGACTTATGCCGCCTTCGCGGCGCAGTTATATTTAACACTAGTTTGGTAATATATTGCCCAATAACTGCGACAACGAAGTTGTTTGCGGCTTGAAAAGGGCTAATTTAGTATACATTACAATTAAGAAGCGTACTTTGTACAATACTGGAGACTAAAATACGAAGAAAACGTGTTAATATCAAATTTGGTGTGCGCGAGCTCTTTGGGACAATAAATCCAAACAAATATGAAAATTCATTTCTAACTATACTTTCATCAAATAAATTGCGTGAAGGCTAGTTGAAACCGGATCCGGTAGTCTAATAAGAACACTGTAAAAAATCACGCTAAACTGATATGTGTCCCATTAAACGCCTGTTTATTAATAAATCAAATGCAGTGGGTACTCTTAGAGAAATAATTTTTACTGAAAATATTATGTTTCATCTAAAGCTGGCCGTAAGTTCTGCGGAATTGCCTTTTCCTGGGATATAGTTACCTGCTGTATTTTATAATAAAAAGGTTTATCTTAAACATTTCGCGAAGGCAGACGACAGATAGGTGGCGGCGTTTTAGTTCTCGCATAAAAAGGAAATCCGTTTACCCAAATTAATATAGCAAATAAAAAAAGGGTTGATCGCCATAGGCATAGTTTCTCCGGACCATTCAATATCAATATTACCTTTTTTTTTTCCTAATTCTAATGTTTCCAGGAAGACATCAAGCTCATTAATGAGCACGATAAGGTGTGTAATACCGAAGGGACAAATGTCATATGAGTGATCCTAATTTACCGATAATATAATAACAGTCATGAGGTGTCTCCGCAACTTCGAACAAAATACTATAAATTGATTCAAATAGTTTGTTTTCCCGACCCTTGCGATGGTAGAAGTTCTGCGTCATAATCCATATGAGCATACATAACAATATTTCAACGGAAACTTAAATGAAGATTGTCCTTAGTCACGATAACTCAACTAACGAAGCACATGTCCTACTTTCTCCGAATCATCATTTAGTTTTCATAGAAAGTGACATCTGGATAAGGTAGGTTTTTGAACCTTTTGTGATTAATCGGAGTTTATTAATTAAGTGGAGATTGCAGTGAGTAGAATGAAGTTTTTGGTGGGTACGTCACTATTGATGGTTTATACTTAAAATTAGTATATATCCTTTCTTTAAGAATTTCGATACTTTCGGACTTTCGACCATAATGTTAAATATTTAAAAAAAAACGTCGATATAATAAAGAAGCAGAAAAGCTACATGATTTTTTTTAAATCAGGAGACTCGAATCTTTTAACAAATACGTATTTCTGTTTTTCAATGATGAAAACGCAATCTAATAAACCTATGACAAACCACAGGACAGCCAAAGCAACGCTGAAATGGGTACGCAAGTCGGCAAGTAACCAAAAAAAAACAGAGACAATCAAAAAGTTCTTTGTTCACAGAAACCCAACAAATGAAAAACCTTGTCAACGTAAGATATACCTTGGGATTATACTAAATGCACAAAACGATGCAGTGGTCATCAATGAAGTGAATTTCCCAGTTGAAAATATGTACAATCATCAGCTCAAGAAGTCCCACTAATAAGTGCAGTAAAGTTTCTAAGCGAGTATATGAACGAATCATTAGATATCTTTTTAAGTGCCCTACTGTTGCCAGCGCTTCATCACACATTAGGAATTAGACGAACTTCCGAACCTTTTTAACTACCCAATAGTCTACCCAACTTTTAATGAAAACTACAGGTCGGAAATTTGAAGAATTTTTTTTTTGAAGATTCCAAGTTTGCGCTTAAAACAATCATCCCCAATCATTTGTTGGATAAACTGTTAAGCTAATTGGGACTATTTCATCAAGTGGAATAACGGCCTTTTTACATGATAATTACTTCTGTTTCTAACTCAACATAAGCCACGAGCCATCATAAAGAAAAAAGACGTTTGGCTACCCGAAAAGCACTACCTTAACACCATTTTTTTATATCCTGTACTCGAGTTCTCTCATTTACCTAGATCCTGATATGAGAACTATTCCATGCCGATGATTTAAAGACGTGTGGCCGACGGAAGATTACCGAAAAATGCAAACTCCAGGATCTTTAAATGACAGAGCGAACCATTTTTTTTTAAGTTTAAACTTGTAAGTGCAGTCCTACAATTTAGTCGTGACAATCTAATGAATATATATTAAATTTATTATAAAAAATCGACTTCAGCCAATTACACACCAAACCTAAGAGTGACAACGTGAACTAGTTTCAAATATAGGATTCACGTAGCAGAAATCGCGGCACGCGATTTTTGAAGAACGCACAAAATTTACGCTCACTTGTTATTAACAAGCCTGATCTGTGCCACGACTTTTTGTTTATTACACTACGTCTACATTAACCTATGCGTACTCAGAGTAGAAAAAAACCAGTCAAATATAGGAAGCTGCTCCAATATGTGCAACGGAAATATGTGCATTGCGTTCTCGTAAATGCGAAGCTGATTTCAATTGAGTAGCATATCGATTTTTAAAAAAATATTAGGTTGGAACACGAGTACTTTCAGTTCGTTCTTAATGTTTCTTTTTTTTGCTACTTAATTGTTTGTCCTTTTTGATAAGTCACTAAAAAGCACTATTTTCTGTAGAGTTTGAGCAATAGACGGTATTTTGCAAGCTTAAAAGTTCATGTTAGAATTTTTGGGTGGAAAAAAATGTATTTTCAACACATACTCTATTTCACCCCTTGCAAAGATAAGCAATAGTAGCAGCAAAATGAGCTACTTATGCCATATACGATGTTTCGCTCCATGCCAAAGAGGACTCTCAAAAATTATTTAAAAAATGCAATAATGTAATTAGCTAATAATTAATTGCAGGATGCACATCTCCTAATCGTCGAGAAAGAAAATGGCCAGCATTAGTTTGTGAATTGGGCGAGAAAATAAACCGCAGTGCGATCGAATCTACGAGATTTACTCAACAATGAGAAGCTTGGGTACCTCATAGATTGAATGGATATCACAAAGAAAGACGGTTTTCCATTGCCTCTCAATATTTCGCCGGACGCTAAGCAACACGCAAGCGTAATGGCAGGTTTCTATTCAAAATGGTCAACAGTGATTGGAAGCAATGTACTCACATAGATGTAAAGTAAAGAAAAGAAAGCTGCTTTACATGTCTAACATGCACAGAAACAAACTAGATCTTCATCCTAAGACCGCTTCGATTTGCGTTTCGTGTGTTTCGAAGGGTCTTATATACAGAAAAATGTTTGAGAAGAATGAAGCAATAAACAAGGATCTACATGTGTTCCAGTAGTGTTGAATGAACGAACTTATCCAACAGACAAAAACAGATAGACTAGGCAACTTCATCCCTCTTCGCATATCTGGCCGCACATGGTGAAGAATGTAAAAGCTGCCCTGCAAGAGCTTAAATTGTAACCTGTCGCTCCGATGAATTATGACCTTACCAAATTAGTAACCGTAGATTTGATGAATTAGGTCTCAAAGCCTGGCTGGACAAGTTTTTCATCACCCACGTATAGATTAAAAAAAATTAAGCAACGTTGTACGTAGTCGGCCTATGTTGCCCACTCCATTACCTTCAATTATTTTTGTCCTACCGCATAAGTTCACTAGAGTACTTTACGCATTGCCATTAAAAAAGATGAGAAAGGGAAAGCATACAGTAGTTAAAGAAAATGAGCGAAATCGTATTGTTAACAGTTGTATGTTTATCTCGGTTTTGGGACTCTGTTTACCGTCAATAGTACCAATTTTATTTACCAATGGCCGAAAAAGGTGCTGA